TGACAACTTGAATGCTTTTTTTTCTCTTAATGCATTGCATAAAGATCGGATCGGGAAAAATCGGTATCGGCAAATTGTCAAAATCAAATGATCGGAATCGGATCGGGAGCAAAAAAAGGTGATCGGGACATCCCTACCAGAAATCCTTCACAGTATGTTAGAATGAAAAATTATAGAACTTTTAACGAAAGTAAAATAAATCAAATAAAAAGGTTATATTTACCATTGTCTGACTTTCTTTTCTTTTTTTTCCCACTTGGCTTGTTATCAGCCAAGCCATCGCACTGTAGCAAAACATGATAATCAGGTTTTAACAAAAAAAAAAGTATGTTTCAGCGGTGGCCCTCACCGAGAAAAACTGGATAACACTCACCATTTTGCGTTTCCTCTTGCTGGTATCACTGTCGGCACTCAAATCTACAAACGCTACGTCCGACTCCACCTTCACACGGACAGCTTGGACGGTGTGAGTGCTGCAGCCTTCCTGTGCTGCGTCGGGCTGCTCCGATGGCTCCTGCCTCTGAGGTTCTGACTGCGGCTCAGTGTAAGACTCGTAATATGTTGCGTTCTGGGGTGGAGGAGGTAGTTCGTTCCAGTGTGCGCCTGACAGAGTGTCTGAGACAGCCTCCCAGTGAAAGCCCTCGGACAGACTCGTGTCGATTCCCTCTGCTCGTGTTGAACTCTCATTTTCAGAATGACGCTTCGTAAGCTCAATTCCAAACCTGTTACCACACAACACAACAGATATAAAAACGTATGTTTGACAAAGGGCAACACTGAGAGTTAAAACAATGTTTACCTGGGCCTGACTTTGACTCTCTCCTGCTTCTTCCTCTTCCTGTCCTCATACATCTCCCTCCAGTTTGACTTGCCTTTAGGGACTGATAAGCTAAACGTCTTATTTATAGTTGGTTTAGGCACAGGCATTCTTCCTCCCTGAACTGTGGCTGAATCACGGGCAATTCGAACCTTGCGGGCTAAAGTTGGTCCATTTGACACATTTTCCCACATAGGAGCAACGTTAGATGGACCAGCACCAGCAGTGGAGGAAGAAGCAGGGCTGTTGTCGTATGAAAATTGCATAGATGTAGCTGCAGCAGAGGCAACATGAATGGGAGTTTCCTTGGCTTTGTTCCTGAAGGAGCACCGTGCCTGCTGCTGTCTCCCAGCTTTAGTTTGCACCCCCGTCTCACTGCTCTGTTTCCGAGCTTCACGATCGGCCCGACACGGCTCCCTCACACCCAGCGCGCGCCTGATCTGCCGCAGCATCGCGCTGACGTCCACGTCCCGTATCGGAGCTGCGTTTGTGGATTCGTTTGTCTGAGAAGGTTGAGCTGAAGCTTCCTTTTCTGAAGGAGAACCTCCTGAACTCTCACCCTGGCAAATACCAAATATGATAGCTCCGTTGTGAGGAAGGTGATCACTGGTGAAGTCTCCATCGTATTGCTTGTTGTAATAGTCATTCTGTAGGTCTCTTTGGGGGAACTGCTGAGCTGATTGGGCGCACTTGGGAACAGGAACGTAATGTTGAGTGTGACCCGGCTCTGCTGACAAATAAGACAATCTTCCGCTTTGATTAGGCAGAGATGATTCTCCTTGGTGAAGAAGCCTTTTCACACTGGACAATTTATTCTCTTTGTTTTGAACAACAACAAGGGTTCTTCCTTGCTGGAAGGTTCCCTGTTGCAGTTTCCAATTGTTCACTTGTTTGTTCTTCCTTAACACTGCTTTGGACACCACTGTGTTTTTTCCTTGCACTTCTGCACGCTTCTGATCATATTCCTGCTTCTTTTTCCTTTTCCTCCTTTTGCCTGCTTTCTTCCTGTAATGCACCAAAAGTCACAGTTATTAAAGCGCATTGAATCATGGAGAGAATCAATTGCAAACAGATGACAAGATGAAATTATTACTCCTCTTTTTTCAGGGTCTTGTTTCTCTCCAGGATCAAGTTCATGGCCTCATCGCTCAGAGTCTTGAACAGAGGTAGGGGCTTTATTTTTAAATGCTTTAAGCTGTGCAACTTGGCTTTGTGTTGAGGGGTGGAGATGTGCCGAGCATACTCATTTAGACCCATGGAGGATGCGTTACATGCCTGACATTCATGAAATGAATTCCTGTCAAAGGAAGTACACAAAAACAAACAACATTTTTGTTAGATATTCGTTTTTTAAGCTGGTCAGTGTGTGTTATGATTACTTATCTCAGAAAGACAGGGAAGTACTTTGGAGCTGTGTATCGTTTTACCTTTTTTATACAAGTGCAGACACAACAAAAGTTTCAGCACACAACCAATCAATACTATATTCATATGTTGTTGAAGTGTTGTATTACAAATTAATGGAACTAGGAATAGTCAATCAATGCAAGGTCTAAACAAGTGTATTAAGTATGTGTACTATTTTTGCAAGAGAACAGGGTCATATTAATATTGCAAAAATATCACTCACGTGCCCAGCACTGTCTCCAGCTCTCTGTGGTGCAGCATACCATGCACATGATCTTGTGCTTCCTGTAGATCAGAAACATCTCGTCCACATTATTAAACATTTAATGGCTGTATATAAAAACACTGAAATATATTTGTTAATGTAGATCCACTTACATCTTTCAAATGGATCATGCGACACAGTGTACAGTAGTTGCTTTTGGCCTTCTTGGAGTGTTGTCCATTGTTTTTCTTCTTAAAAGCGGATTTCCCCGAATTATTAGTTGGTGTTTGAACCTTTGCCATTTCTGAACAGGTGAAACAAGAATGATAACATCACAAGCTTTTCAGAAACGAGCCCAACTGCAACCACTCAGAAGCATAATATTATCACAGCATAAGGCTAAACGAAATAAACACATTTGGGAGTTTTATATAATATCATGCTTCACACGTTTATAACCAATATAGCATTGCAATTATGAAATTTAGACTTAGAATAGCAGCAAAACGTGTTTGTTAAATCACCACCAGCATTTACGTTTGAGTTGGACTAACGTTAAACCGTTGGCAACAATTCACCCCTCGTGCAAAGTTATCGGCATTAAAATACATTCATGACGTTTTGTGCTCAACCAAATATTATGTGAAAGTTGTTAATAAATCATAATTACCAGCTGTATTTCACATGGCCAAAAAAGTCAACTGCAGTCAACGGCCATGTTTGCTTACGTAGATTACGTAAGGTTTGCGGCGGCCAATCGTGTGCTAAAGACGACACCGGAAGTTTCACAAATATAATTTTACTAATTTCTACACACGTTAATTCCTGTTTGACCACTTGTATTTTGTTTTTATTTCACTCTCTTTTTTTCTGTATATAATGCATCCGAATTGTATTCATTTAATGAAAAAGGATGTTCCTTTTTCTGATATCTTTGAAAAAATTGTGAAGGAAAAAAAGACGATACCGGAAGTGTCACGACACTCAGTTTGCTTAGATCTACAAAACATCTGCTAAGAGGAATTAAGCGCTTTAGCTGCAAGCGTTTATCTACAGATCTGTGAGCTTTAGGGACCAGATTTCGATGCGGAAGAGGATATGTTGACCCAAAAAGAGGAATAAGAAAAACTGTTTGTTAGAAGATTACAGTGTTTTAAGATTTTCCTTCAAAATGTGCAACGGCTGCGTGCAAAAGGAATACCCGGACAGGGTGAGTTACTAAGGCAACATACTGGTTAATGTTTAGTTATCTGAATGACGTTACTGTAGTTAGCTTGCTATGCGTATCATGTAAAGATAGGTAAACAACCCGCTGCGAAAGAGCAGAGGTGGGAAGTTACAATTTTGAGATAGGCCTACTTGTACTTTACCTGAGTATTCCCATGTTATGCTGCTTTGTACTTCTACTCCACTAAAATTCAGAGGTAAATCGTGTACCTTTAGTCCACTACATTTATTTCGTACCTTTTAGTTACTTTACAGATTTGGAATAATGATGTAAAATATGAACAACACTTAAATAATACTTAAGTTAGGCCTGGAGTAACATTCAAAAGCTACCAAGCAGTAATTTATGTAATTTAAAATGAGTTCTACCTTTATCAGCTTTGATAAACACATCAATAATTAAAATCAAAACATACAATATACTGTATATTATTCTGAAAAGGACCAATGTGTATAATGAGTACTTTTACTTTTGGTACTTTAAGTATATTTTTATGGTAATGCTTGTGTACTTTTACTTTACTTTTGAATGCATAACTTTTACTTGTAAGAGACGATTCCTACACTATAGTACTTCTTCTTTTACTTAAGTAGAAGATCTCCCACTTCTGCAAAAGATGATGACATGTCAAAATCAGGTTGTCATTGAGAAAGCTCAAATGTGATGGTTTTCCCTTGACTTTCTGCTCAGGGTAACACCTGTCTGGAGAATGGCTCCTACCTGATGAACTACCGGTGCTGCGCCAGCTGCCATCAGAGGGACTTTGTGCTGATCAGCAATAAAACCACAGAGGATGAGGATGGAGAAGAGATCATCACATATGATCGTCAGTCACTCTTTTTTTATGCTCCTGAAACTTTGACTGTGTTTTTATTGTTGTAAGGAAATAATAATCGAGTTTGTGTCCACACACTTCCGGGGTTGTTGTTTTTTTTAATTTTGGGCGAGGCCCCTATCAGTAAAATCTGAGGAAAATGTTCATGTTGCAGCATGCAGAGGTATTTTCTGTACTATAGTGTTAACAGTTTTGGGAAGATGTTTTTCTATCCCTCTAACTGAGAGCTGTAGAACATTACTAAATATGTGCTGATTCCTAAAGTACAGAATATTTTAGATTTCAGATTTTTATTATAACATCAAGTTTTAGGCTTTGATACATTTTTGGTCAAATTTGGAATAATATAGAATTACCAGAACCCATCATAACTCACAAAAAAGCTAGGGGCTTGTATTAATAATTCCAACTTTCCTTAAAAACGTCTTCCACAGCAGGTTTGTAATCAATCCAATAATGTCAATTTCTCTTTACAGATGTTTGCAAAAACTGTGATCATATCGTCGCCAGGCACGAATATACTTTCTCCGTTGTTGATGAATACCAGGTCAGATTCTACTCTGTTTTATTGAACATAACTATGTATATTTGTATGTAACGCAAATGCTTCTTTAACTACCACACTCATTTAACAGTATTCATGGTTAGTTGTTCTTGCCGTCGTTTAGTCTTTAGTAGATTAAGTCTGTTTTGTGTTGTCCAGGAGTACACGATGCTCTGCATGCTGTGTGGAAAGGCAGAGGACTCCATCAGTGTGTTGCCAGACGACCCCAGGCAGTCTGCTCCTCTCTTCTGAGTGTCACCACCGAAACTGTTCCTGGCTGCAGGCTTCGGGGATCCAACCCTTTTTTATTAAATCCATGCAACTTTTCTTCAATGAGTTCACCATATTTTAAGTCTTTGGCTGTTTATAAACGACTGTATGCTGATAACCGTTGAGCAGGACATAAAGCTTTTTCATATTCCTTGCAACAAATATTCTGTAAGTGAATTGACAGTGTTCTGTAAATAAACAGTTTTTACTACGTTTTATTATGGCCTGCGTTTCCTGTTCAACACAGAATATTTGATGTTCATAAGTAAGAACGACATCTTTCAATGCAGTGAAAAAGTACAACTTTTTTGAATATCCAAAATATGTAAAAAATAAATAAAATTCAGTGGCTACATGGTTTGTTAAAAAAGAAAAAGCATAAGGATTAATCTGTTAATATCTTTCAGTTATTTATTTAGCCAGACAGCTTTCCCCCAAAATAAGTATTGCTTACAGGCATTCAGCAGCTTGGAGCGTTTTCATTATGTTAAGCTCTGGGCTCAGCTGTGCAGTTCCAATTTGGGAAGGACATTTTATTTGTGAAGTTGCTTGGGAGTGATTCATTTGTAAAGTAACAGAGAAGCAATGAAGCATTTATATTTCCATGACAAACTAAGAAACTCATAGGCGTCATTCGCTCTGGGGACGCTTACTTTACGGACTCTAAAATGACCCAAAAACATGCTTGCGGAAATGTTGTTTGGCCTTTTTGCCTGCATTTAAATGTTGTCTATTTGTTTTATTTTCTTGTGTGATTTTGGTGACTGTGTGACTATGCTGGACAAAGTTATAGAGGGGGGTGCCAAATCTGGCAGCACTAACACCTGCTCTGCCAGATTTGGAAGCCCCTCTTTAGTTTTTCATCTGATGAGCCCAGAGTAAAATGCTTTTTTGTGCAAAAATCTCAAACATGTTAGAAATCCCATCCCTTACAGTCCTGTTTCTGAGTTTTAGGTATTAGGAAAACCTTTAATAGTAACACCATTTTTGAAGCTAATAAACATTTATATCTGGCTTTTGAGGGCTCTGAAGTCAAGTGTACTTCTTGCACCAAATCCATAAATCAAAGTTTATTTATTCATCCCAACATCACAAATTGTACTTTAGTCTCAGGGGTTTTAAGGTTTATACAGAAGATGAATATGCCGGAAATTCCCGGTTCTGTAAGCTTTTAAAATATGTATTGAAGAGAGAAGAGTCACTGTGTACTACTTGACACAAAGCTTCCAAATAAAAGTGGGACTGGTCAGAGCAATTGAAAGTACATTGTTATAAAGGTTGTCTTATCCACAGAATAGAAGGCTACCAAGCAAAACAACATTGTGTGAAACAAGCAAAGAAAATAATAAATATGTTTGTTATTGAAAATAAATGTAGAAATACATTAAACATATAATGTGTGTTCTGTTTTATTCTCTATATTTATTTATTTATACATTTTTTCTTGTGTTTATGTATTCCTGCATTTATTTCCACATGTATTTATCCCTGTATTTATTAATTATTTCTTGTGTATATTTATTACTCTATTCATTTCCACATTTATTTATTCCCATATTTATTAATTTGTTCCTGTGTTTATTTATTACTGTTTTTTTTCAAATTTATTTATTCTTCAAATTTATTTTTTACTCATCTCATAATCTGTCCTCTATACCTGAATAAAGCCACACATTCACTCAAAATCACATCATAGCAAGATGTAGGCCTATCATAAAAAATAAAACACACATACAGTATTGGTGGTCCAGAGGTCTCTGCATTGCTTTTTCATGGAGAATCTGGAGAAAGTTTTTTCTAACAAAGTGACGCCAATGAAGAAGCTACAGAACAGCTACTTAGTGGACATTTTTGTGAGATGGTTTCTAATTAAGTTGCTTACTATAGTATCATATTTTAGTTTACTGTGCTAACACAGTGGAGATAAATAACTGACCAGCACTTGCCATATTTGGGGGAAACTTCTGAAGCAATTGGAGTCAGGACTCAAAGGGAGTCACGATGGAGAGCTGGAGCTTTGATGACAAACACTGACGGTTTATCTGCAGCTTCGGCCGGAGAATTCACAAGACATGTCACGGGCCACGGTTTGACCACAGGGTTGAGATGCCACAATCAATTCTGAAGATCCCTCCTGTAGCTCGAGGTTTTAACTAGTTCAGAGTGTAATAATCAACATTCTTCAATAGATGGACTGAGGAAACTGAATGAACTTTAGTTGTCGCTTATGGCTNTCAATTCTGAAGATCCCTCCTGTAGCTCGAGGTTTTAACTAGTTCAGAGTGTAATAATCAACATTCTTCAATAGATAGACTAAACAGCTGAGGACACTGAATCACAGTCGTTGTCGCTTATGGCTCGGGTCATCTACACCCCGAGAACGAAGGATGTGTTCCAGGTGTCCCACAACAATAACTATCTCTGACAGAGAGTTGCCCCGTCATAAACTGGTAATATCAACAATACGCTAGGGCAGCCCCTCCTTAAGGAAGATAACGGCTGCTCAAGGTTGGTCAGCTGGGTCAGAGGGCGAAGGAGGACATGCAGGGCAAATGATTCCCCAACACCATGCACACCTAATATCTAAAAGCATCCATTTCCTCTTGTACATAAACCTGTAGTCGATGTTTGGGTATAACAAGGTGGAGGTTGTGTGACAGGAAAGCCCAAGCAATGATCAATCTTGCCGTTATTTAAATGATTTTTAGAGCTCAACACATTCTATAACTTCTTGTCATTTACTGCTGTTACATTGTACACAGTGATGGACCACAACAGATGGGGGAGTGTTCATTTGACTGTTGTCATCTGGGACCCCCCCAATCGGTCACCAGCTTGTCAGCAGGCTCTCTTACTGTATGTGCTTACAGGGACGTCTGTCAAAGGAAACAGCTGCTTCCACAGAATTTGAAATGGGATTTTTCTCAACTGACATAATGCAGTCTGAGTTTGTGTGACTTTAGTTTAACTCAGTGGTTCTCAAACTTTTTCTGTCAGGCCCCTCCTTTGGAGAAAAAAAGAAGTCGGGCTCCCCCCAACACAAATAGTCAGGCTCAGTGGCGGCGACAGAGCCAATATAGAGAACATATATTTCATAAATAGACACCTGCACACCTAAAAAAAACAAAAAACGTATTTTCATAACACCAAGAGTGAATGAGAAATTGTGAGAGAATGTAAATGCACTAACCGTTTAATCAACAATGAAAAACTACAGCAAGTGTAGCCATGAATTCAACGTTTGTTTAGAATTGGCATTTATTTAATTGACTATATTTAAAATTGTGCTAAAAAATAAAATGCAACAACAAGAAGACATGATGAACAGGTTCCATTTTATCAGTTTTCTTCCTTTACCATCTATTTTGTGGAAGAAATAAAAGTGCACATCTTTGCTGGTTCATATTATGATGTTCTTTGAGATCATAAGCAGTTCAATAAAAATACACGCCTAAGCAGATTGTACAAATGAATAAAATAAAAAAAGATCCATTGCAATGATAGTCATGCTCTTTCACAATACTTAAGTATGAGTGCACTTACATGTACATTCTAATATGCGGATGCCTTCTGCATGACAAATATTTTCGAGCAAAGTAAAAGCACACTACTACACTCTGATATGTCAAATGAGCAATTCATTTTCACATATAATAATTAATCCAGCTGTTTTACAGGAGTGAGGTCAAAGCTGCATGCCCTGGTTCTGTACATGTCTGCCGATGTTGGTATACTGCACGTGGTGTTATTTATTATTAGTGTTCTTAACGTGAGTTCATGTTTTCTATTAGTGTTTACTATCTTCCTCATGGTACATATCTACAATAAGCATCATTTTTTACATCCCTAAAGTATTTAACATTATCTTTTTGGTCTCATATTAGGCCTATATGGAGAGTTAAGAGGAGTGAAATGAGAGGTAAGAGTTGGCAATCTTAAGGTTTCTCAGCCTTTCTGTTTCAACTGCAGGTATCAAGCCACATCGTCAAGTATTTCGAGAGACACGTCCAACAAATGAATAAATAAATAAATACATTTTATACATTTGACATTACATACAGTACATTCCCTTGAGTAAATACTGTATTTACACATGCTATCAGCGACTGGATGTGAAACAGCCTCTCGCTACAGTTGCACCATCCGATCAGTCACTTATGTTCCAAATACAGTCATCGACTCACTTTACCAGAGCCTTTACCCTCGTGGAGGAGACCCCTTCCCCTGGAGCTGTGGCCCCACGGAGCCTGGAGCCCGGGCCTGTCGTGTGGGTGAGAGTGGCGAGGAGGAGGGGAACCAGAGAAGCTGGAGGGAGAGTAGCTGCGTCCCTGCAGCACCCCGCCCTCCCGGAGCTCCCGGAGCTCCCGGGAGGGGGAGGAGCTTAGGGAGCGCTGCAGGGAGGAGGAGGAGCTGCGAGGGCGAGGGGGGGGGCTGAAGAGCACCCCGCCGCGGTCCTGCATCAGCTGAGTCAGACTGGCCAGGAAGTCTGCGTCGCTGGTGCTGCTGGCACGCACTCTTAACCGGCGCCTTCTTGAGAAAAGACATCATGATTATGATTCTGCATTATGAATCGTCGTGCTCTTGAAATCATTCTGTGAAGTGAAATTCAAGTTATAAACCTTCAAATGTGATCAAGCCAACAGTCTTTGATATTTAACTATATATATATATATTTCCCCTTTTTTAGGTGCATGCTTTATACTTTCGTATTCTTGAGGTTTCTTCACTAGCACATGCTTTAATGTTCAGGTTTATATTATTTTTCTGTCTGAATATATCTGTATAAAACATCCTGTTGTTGTGCATTTCGATGGCAACAGCCTGGATTCCTTTTTCTCATTTACATACACTTTAAAGAAGTGTCTCAATTTCTGTATGCCTGGATTTTTTTGCAAAACTGAGGAGTATGGAGAAATGTGTTTCTTACGGTGCACTTAGAGCTGGATACCTATTACCTATACAAGTACATGGTGTATAAGGTGGATCATTTTGACAGCGTTATACCTGTTGTCCACGCCCGGGCGGATGGGTGGTTTCCCCGGCGGTGGTCGGGGCAGAAACCTGCTAGTGAGTTGCTCCGGTATGAAGGTGGCGCTCACAGGTCGGGGGATCTTACTCTTACTCCCCGATGAGGAGGACAGGGAGAGAGGGTCTTCTCCGACACAGTCAGACCTGGAGCCTCGCTCTGAGAAGAGCCGGTCTCTCGGCAAAACGCACG